ACCAGTGGAGCGGGGGCTCAGAGCATCCCCCAAGGATCCTCCTTCTCAAACTGCCCAAGACCACTTTCCTCCATCCCCGCAAGATCCTTTTCCTCCATTCCCACAGGATCCTTTTCCTCCATCCCAGGATCCCTTTCTTCTATCCCCTCCAAAGATCCTTTTCTTCCATCCCCCCTCCCACCATCCCCCAAGACCCCTTCCTATCCTCCACCTCAGGTTCTTTTTCCTCCGTTCCCCTAAGATCCTTCTCACCAGCCCCCATGACCACTTCCCACCACACCACCACAGACCCCTTTCCTCCATCCCTCCCCAGCCTTGGCGACATCCTCGCGCTTTTGCAACCCTCTCCAGCAAAACCCGTGCAGGGACCCCCGGGGCAGCCCATGCCACCCCCGTGTCCCCATCCCCACACTCACTGTCCCTGGCAGGAGCAAGCAGCTGACGGTTGTCTTCCGGCTCTCACCACGGGTGCCCACCAAGGTGATGGAGATGCAGTTGGTGGTCCTCGCTTCGAGGACGTCACCAGTTGCCACCTTCACCTTGTAGACAGCCATGACAGCTGAGGACACACAGTGATGTCCAAGAGATGCCTTCAAAAAGCAGCCACCAGCAGGAGTGAGGGGTTTGGAGGTGGAGACCCGTCGTTTTGGCTAGTTTGCATGTTGCAAGCCCTGTGGCTATTGCACAAGCCAGATGGCCAGTCCTTCCTTATCACAGGGAGGTGTTATCAGATGACCGTTACTGGTTGGCACATCTAACCTCAACAGATGTGGCCAGGGGGACACTGCCTAAGCAATGGCACGAGCCCAGGGGAGGGGGTGTTCACAGCGGTCCAGGAGCTTCTCCTGTCTCCCCATGGTCTCCTCCACCTCCTGCTGTGTCCCTGCCAGAGCTGCTTCCCCCAATTCACCATCTGCTGGGATGCTGTGGAGCAGCAAGGGCTTCCCAAAGGAGGGTGGTGGAGCAACTAATCCAGGAAACCATTTCCAGGATTGTCAAGGGTAAGGACTTGGATGGCCACTAAGTGCTGACAGATGCTCTCTAACCCCTCTCGCTCCCCTAATGGGAAGGGAAAGGGAACGAGTGGTGAGGCACTGGAACAGGCTGCCCAGGGAGGTGGTGGAGTCCCCAACCCTGGAGGTGTTTAAAAACAAAGTAGATCTGGCACTTGAGGCTGTGGTGTAGTGGTTGGGTGTGCTGGGATGAAGGTTGGACTGGATGATCTTCAGAGGTCCCTTCCAACCCCGGACATTCGGTGATTCTGTGATTCTGTGAAGCAGAGACTTAGAAATAGGAAAAGAAAAGTAAACAAGGCACCAGGGAAGCCCCAGGCTGAGCACCAGAGGGGGACCAAACAGCGCAGATGTGCGATCGACACGCTGGAGGGACGGGAATGCCGTCCACAGCGACCTGGATGGGCTGGAGAGCTGGGCCCATGCAGTTCAAGGCGGCCAAATGCAAGGTCCTGCACCTGAGGTGGGGCAATCCCAAGCACAAACAGAGGCTGGGCGACAAGCGGCTGGAGAGCAGCCCTGCAAAGGAGGACTTGGGGTTGCTGGTGGATGAAGAACTGAACACGAGCCAGCGAATGTGTGCTGGCAGCCCAGAAAACCAGCGGCATCCCGGGCTGCATCTGAAGCAGTGTGGCCGGCAAGTCAAGGGAGGTGATTGTGCCCCTGGGGAGGCTTCCAGAACCTGGGGAGGGACTCCTTGTAAGGGCGTGCAGTGATAGGCCAAGTGACAAAGGTTTCAAACTGAAAAGGGTACATTTGGATTAAATATTAGGCAGAAATTATTTTCTGTGAGGGTGACGAGACACTGGCACAAGTTTCCCAGAGAAGTTGTGGCAGGGCCCCCTCCCCAACAATTCTAAGGCCACGGTTGGAGAAACCTGGTCTGGTGGGAGATGTCCCTGCCCACGGCAGGGGGGGTTGGAACCAGATGATCTTTAAGCCCACACTATTCTAGGATTCTGTGACTGATATGATTCTATGATTTGGGAACTCAGGGTCTGGATCAAAAGCAGAGAAAAAAGAGATCAAAACCGTTGAAGAAGTGACATTTAGCCCAAGATCCCTCAGCTTTATACCAAATATGACACATAGAGAAAAGGAATCCTCTTGTCGGTCACCTGCCCTGTCTGTCCCTCGCCGCAGGTGCCACCTGTCACTGCCACCTGTCCCTTTTCCTTGCCGGCCCCCCCAGCGGGGCACACAAGATCCAGCCGCGGGCTCGGGCCCCCCAGGAGGCGGGGCCTTTGTGCGCCCCCAGCCCTGGCAGGGACTGCAGACACCCGCGTTAGCGCCTCCGGGAGCACAAACCCGCTGTGACCTTCAGAAAGGGCAATCTTTTACAAGAGACTGAGCAGAAGAGCAAAAAACTAAAATCCCTGACCAGAATTGGTCGTGTTTAGCTCAAACCATTTCCAGGCACATGAAGGGTGAGATCAGCATCAAGCAGGAGTCAGTGTGGCTTCAGCAAGGAGAAGTCACACTTGACCAACTTGACGGTATCTATGATGCAATGACTGGCCTAGTAAGCAAGGGGAGAGAAGAGGACATTTTCCACCTGGCCTTCAGGAAGACTTTCAACACGGTGCCCCATGAGATCCTGCAAGAGACCAGCCTCAACCTCTTGACACCGTCCTTTCAGGCAGTTGCAAAGAGTGATGAGCTCTCCCCTCGGCCTCCTCTTCCTCAAACTCAACAGCCCCAGCTCCTTCAGTCACTCTTCATCAGATTTACTCTCCAGGTCCTTCCCCAGCTCCGTCGCCCTCCTCTGCCCTCGCTGCAGCCCCTCGAGATCTCTCTTGGGTTGAGGGGCCCAGAACTGGACACAACACTCCAGGGGTGGCCTCCCCAGGGGGACAATCCCCTCCCTGCTCCTGCTGGTCACACCATTTCTAACACCAGCCAGGATGCCCTTGGCCTCCTTGGCCACCCCACGCTGGCTCATCCCCAGCCGCTCGTCGATGAGAACCCCCAGGTCCCTTTCTGACAAGGAGCTTTCCAGCCTCACTGCCCCAAGCCTGTAGCATTGCAGGATGTTGCTGTGGCCCAAGGGCAGGACCTGGCCCTTGGCCTCGTTAAAGCTCATCCCATTAACACTGGCCCATCCATCCAACCTGTCCAAGTCTCTCTGCAGGGCCTCCCCACCCTCGTGCAGATCAACACTCCCACCTAACACAGCGTCATCTCCAAAGTTACTGCTGGTACGCATTTTCCTCCCTCCAGTTAAGCCCTGAGTGTTGCGACCGTACCAGAGGTATCGCTTTATTTCTGCAACGCAGATGGAATCACAGACTTTATCTGAAGAATTAAAGGTGAGTTTCGGATCACTCTGAAAATACTGCACGTGCTGTCTGATCCTGGCAGCTGGGCCACAGTTCGCTTGCCTTCGACAAGGTGAATCCCTCTTGTTCTAAACGCGTGACAGAGCCATTTCCTTGGGAGAGGGTGGTGTTTCAAGGGCTCCCCCGGGAGGGAACCTCTTCACAAATCCGGTTTCACTCCAAATTATTATCCTATTCCTGAAGGGAAAAGCAGGGAAGCAGTCAGCCGGGGACTTGCCATGTCAAGGGCAGCTGCAGGAGCTGGTCCTGGCCCACGAGGAGAGCGGCGAGTGAAGGGGATCATCGTGCTGCGACAGGCTCTTGCAGAGGGGCCATTTGTCTGCACTAATTAATTAACGATCGCTTAGTTCTTTGCACTTGTAAGTGGGATTCCTGCAACCCTTCTCCTGGATCCACCAGTCTGATCTTCTTTCCTGGGGCTGACGCAGAGGCTGAGCATCCCGGCGGCCA